CGGCACCCCGAGCAGCGGCTGCCCGGCGGCGGGGAGCCAGCCGGAGCCCGGGAAAGGCCCGCAGGCCGGCCTGGCCGCCTTCCCGGACGGGCTCATCAAGGAGAGCGACATTCTGAGCGACGACGACGAGGACCACCACCAGCCCCGCGGGCGCGGCAGCCCCACCAAAGACATCGAGATTCAGTTCCAGAGACTGAGGATCTCCGAGGACCCCGATGCCCCTCTGGCTGACGGGCCACCCGGCAGGGATGGCCAGCCCGGGGGCCCGCAGTCCAAGCTGGTCCGGGGGCACTTCTGCGCCATCAAACGGAAAGCCAACAGCACCAAGAGGGACAGGGGGACACTGCTGAAGGCGCAGACCCGGCATCAGTCCCTGGACAGTCGGTCTGAAAACGCCAACCTTGATCTCAGTGCTGTTCTCGAGCGAGAATTCAGTGTCCAGAGTTTAACATCGGTTGTCAACGAGGAGTGTTTTTATGAGACAGAAAGCCATGGAAAGTCTTAGTACAGTTTCAACCCAGATGTGGGCTAAATTGCTGGTTTCACTTTTAAACTAGTGGTAAAATGGAAATTGCAGAAAAACTAGTCATAATTGGGTTTTATGCAGTATACATTTTCCCACAAATAGCTGTAAAGAGTTAAGTTATTTTAATTTATTGTGGATCAGAAAACTAGATTAAACTGGTCAGAATTTGTAAATTAGTTTATATCCCTTTTGAGCAGGTATCAAAATGACTTAGACTCCTTAAAATAAAACCGCTTTCTAATTAATTTAATTTATGTGGAAAAAGGTGGGGAAGGTGTGATTATTAGCTTTTAAAAGGTCATTTTTTCCCCCGATCCTCTGGGCATTTTCTTTGAGCTGTTGGGTTTGCTTTATTTAAAGCATATTTAAATTATTCTAATGTGGGTTCGGGGTACAAGTGCAAATACTTCATTTTTGTAAGGTTGTAATAGACGCTGTTTATACGAAAACATGTCATATCTACGCAGTATATATATTAAAAGGAAGCTTGTACTGTACTTATTTGATGATATTTATTCTCTTTACCAAGCTGTACCGTACGAGGGAAGTCAGTCACCTCTGGTGAGCGTGCACACGAGCAGTTCGGCTTGTGAAAATCAACACTCAGCCGGCTGCTAGCCCTTGTAGCAGCAGCTGTGGTCTGCGCCTCTCCTTGTCACCTCTTATTTTCTGATTTTTGCTTGAGTTCTTCTCTGAAATTGTAAGCAAAGAGGTGTGGGTCGTCGTCACACATTTTCCGGTACACGTCACAGAGGCTCTTAAAGTGGGAGACAGAGAGCTGGATGGGTCGAAGAGTGGGGTCCACGTCTGCCAACTGTAGCAGTTTTCCAGTGCTTTCTAAGCGCTGAGCTTCAGGGAACAACATTCTGAAAGGAAGAGGGAAAGAAATCAGAACTTAAATCTTACAAGTCATGATGCTTCCTTTTCCCCTCACTTGAAAACGACGTGGTTCTGACGACTGGCACCTTCTTCGTGGAGCGGACGTCCCGGGGACGCCAGGTCGGCACGAAGGCCTCCGGTCACACAGCCGGGCGACGGGTACGACCAACCGCTGACAGCAGAGCTAATCTGACCTGCAAGGTGTGGCCACACACGAGAAGGTATTTTCTAAAGCTAAATCAGTACATGTATCTTTAAGGTAAATTTAACAAACTCAGTTTGATGTGCCTCATGTTTTATTATAAAAGTTGCATATTATTTCTGGTGTGACTTATCAGTTTTGATTTTCTATAGTTTGAACTTACCAGCCTTGGAACTCTTCACTCCAAAAGAATGACCTTTGCAAAGTTAATAAAACAGTTTACATGAAAGTAGAAAGTTATTTTTGCCTCTAAGACAAATTGATTCAAAGTGTAAATCTTAAGTTTCGTCTGAATCAGATCATTGTTTTAAAATGAATAGTGCAAGTGACTAATTGAAATATTGCAAAGCTACATCTGGATTTTATTTTCTTCTCTCAAGTCTCAGAGGCTCCACAGAGCTCGTCCCAAAAGGCTTAGAAGACGTCATGGCAAGTGGAGGCCGAGTTTCTCTTACAGGCCGATGGGCCTCTCAACCAAGAACTGCATGCCCACCTTCCCAGGGTGAGTTGACGGAGGTCTCGGAGTTCAGTTTCATGGCAAGCAGGGGTCTGATCATAGTTTCTGTGATCTGGGACTGACTGGTGGTTGGTGTGACTGAAGGACACCAAAAAGCCAAAGTGAGTCACAGTATCTGGCCCATGTCTGCACAGGGACTGTGTATGTGAAATGAATAGGGGCTGCCACTCAGCGGGGGGGGGGGGTTGTCTTGGAAACACCAGGGCCAACTCTGGGTCCAGGCCAATTCCAGGATTTCCACCAGGAGGGTGTGCTTTCTGTGAGTTCCCCTGCCATTAATCAGGGCTACCAGGTCCAGCTGTACAGGCCACACCCTCTGTGAAACCCAGCTTGTGTTCTACTCAGTAAGTGGTGCATCCTGGCAGGTGGGACGGTGGTGAGGGAGGCATCCATTCTAATTAGCACCAAGACAGACAGTGGCATCCCTGTCACCGACTGGAGCAGCAGTAACTCTCTGGCGGAGTGTGAACACTGGCCTGACCAGAGCCAACACCCGGCAGGTCGAGGTTTCCATCACTCATCTCAGGTCCTCGAGGATAAGTCCCTGGATCCCAGTGGTTTTAGGTGCAGCCGTCTGAGTGATTTCACGTGCTAAAGAGGCCCTTCACAAAACCAGCATGAACTCAAGTGGAGCTAGTTTTAGAAAATGAGAATGAGTGCCTCTGCAGCTGAACCCATTTAAACGGCTACATCGGACTATATTCGACAGAAATCTTTTAAAAATACACACACTTTCCTGCCTTCCTAAATAGACTAGCGTTAGGCCTAATTACATATTCTTGGCTGTCGCTGTGGGGACTTCAGGGCGTATCAGGCATGCAGACTTTAAGCCGCCGGATGTGCCACGTGTGTGTGCAGAGCAGCAAGTGTGGCGGAACGAAGGAGCCCCAGATAAAAATGTGCTCACAGGGACACCTCGCACCATCATTTTCGCTCCTCGGAAGTTATATTTGCTTCTTAGTTCTAAGTATGTCCTTCAAGTTTCAAGAGATAAACAGCAACTTGGTGGAAAGCAAGCATTTAAAAAACCCACTTACATAGTGTGATGATGATAGGAAATACACATTTGGTCTCTGTCCCATGTTCCTGACACACAGCTACGAAAATCGGTAAGTGATGGGGTGACAGGAGCATCTTGTTATTCGTAACAGGCCCCCTCACCCACACCCGAGTCTGTGCTAACGAGGTGACTCTTGGTGGGCCCCTCCAGTGCTTCAAGATGGGGACAGCTGCAGGAGGAACAGCCCTGTGACTGAAGACTGGCACTTTCAGCTCTACCCTGGAGGGGAGGAGGGCTGCCAGTTGAGCTCAGTGACCAACAGCCAGTGGTTTAATCAGCCGCACTGCCTTAGGTGGTGGGACTTCCATAAACCCCAAATAATGGGGTTCGGAGGGCATGGAAACTCTGTGCACCCCCGTCCCCCACCCATCTCTTTCATTTGGTTGTTCCTGAGTTATAGCCCTTAAAATAAATCGATACAAGAAAGTAAAGTTCTGTATCGTTCTGTGAGCCATTCTAGCAAATTCTTGAACTTGAAGATGGACGGATCATGGAAATGGCCAATTTATAGCCAGACAGTTTATAGTCAGAAGGACAAATGACAACCTAGGATTTGCGACTGGTACCCAAGTGGGGGCAGTCTTGTGGCTGCGGGAACCCCAGGTCGTTAGCACCAGACTTGAACTGTAGGACACCAGGTGGTGTCTGGAGAATTCGAGAATGTGCTGGTGTTGGAGAAAACACCACACATTTAGCGTCCGAAATGTCAAGAGTGAAACAGTTCCGATGGTCTGAGTCCTGACTGAGAAGTCATGACCTCCCCCGTCCAGGGTCATTATCAGCTGTGTGATGTCTGTGTTAGTTTGTACTTAGGAGCAAACTGAACAAAGCCTGGAAGTAGCATCTGCGGTTAAATCAAGGTTTTGCTTTTTCCTCAGTGGCAGTCTAGGTTTGCCTGTCCCAGGATCTGAACTAAGAGTAACACTTGTAAGACAGCTTGAAGAATCATAAAAACAAAGCTTTTACTCTCTGAAGGTGACTGAGGACCTTACAAAGCATGCAAAGCGTCCTTACCTGAGCCCTCGATGGCAGTATTTCCTTCGGAACTGAAAAACGTTCTGAACGACTTTCTCCACCAGCTTGAACGGCTGCTCTATCCTGGGCCGGGTCAGGGGGGTGAAGTGCACCAGCCCCACGTCCACCTTCATGGTCAGAAAACACACATCACTTTATTGCCTCATATAACGTGTTAAAGCCACATCTTCGGAAAGCACAGGAGGACAGGTCCTCGAGAGCACGGTTTTCACACATGAGCCTTTATGTGGAACTTCAGTTCCACCTTCTCTAGGCCTGCAGGACGCTCCCCTGGGACCTGAGCTGACTCAGAACCGCAGTGGGTCGCACCTGTGCTGCGACGACATCCGCCAGACCCGTGCTTGATGAGCGTGGCACTGGAGAGTGTGGTTTTACAACGGCCTCTTAGGATCAAGCCACGTCATCAGTAAGGTCCGCAGGCAGACGACAGACAGCATTAGAATATTTTATTTAGCTTCTGAGTGAGTGAAAAATAAGCTGCAGCAGCAGTTCTGACGGCGAGGCTAGACTTCCAGACGGAGACGAGGCAGAGGGGCCCCAAGGGACCACTTAGTGCCAAACTCCCCAGGAAGGGAATCAGTTAGGAGACAGACACTGAGCAGTGAGCTGGACTGAATCCACGACTGTCGTCTGCACAGCTACATAGCTTTCTGGTAGCAACTTTAAATGCCCCAAGAGGCACAGGCAGGATCCAAAGAGAATGGAAACCACCAAAAATATTACTATTGTGAGGGGTAAACTACTACCAGCGGTTGAGATTCTTTTATCAGAAAATAAAAACTTCTCAGGCATATCTGATTAATGGATTTATACCCTGCCTTATTCTAAAAATGGACTCAAGGTAATTCAGAAGGATACGTTCAAAATAACAGAAAAATACTGAAAGACTAAGGGAAAAATGGGGTCAAAGCAGTTATCACACACACACGAATGCCGGGCAGAGACCATGGTCTAGGACTGGGAGGTCTATTAGCAATTTTCACTTCAGTCCCTAAAGGATTATTGTAAACTTGCCACTTGGACGCTTGCATATGACGCTAGCCCCGGACTGTGTGTCTCCGGAATCCCAGGTGTGCCCACTAATGGGCCCGTCTTCCATAAACTCCTCTGCTAAAATCTGCATTGAAAACACCCTGCAGCCTCAGGAGCTGCCGCAGCTGAAGCTGGGCCGCGCCCGTGCTTTCCAAAAGCAGTTCCGTATTTTGAAATTCCATAGGGGTCACCATGTTCCCTTGAGAGGACTCGCTTCTAAAGATCCCTGTGGCTACAAAACTCCTTAGAACTGGCCTGTAATGGATGACGATGGGGAAGTTTTTGTTTTGTTTTTGTTTCTAGGTTGGAGGAAAAATATGTGCATATGACGTGAGACTGTGCGGACAAGAAAAAGACAAAGCAAAGACGTGCCCCACATCAGCACCCGGGAGGGGCCTCTCCTGCGGGGTCTGAGCCGCCAGGCTGCCCCCCCCCCACCCCCCGGGTTTCAGATGAGCCACAGCTGCACCCACTGGATGTCACTAGAAGACGAAGACCTGGTGCCGGGGCGGAATGGCTGGCGGAGGCTACGAGTGTTCTAAGCAGCAGAGTGAAAACTGCCAGTGGAGAGGCCTTTCCACCTGAAAATGCTCCCCTGAATGTGCAACAGCCTTCAGACCATTCTAGTGAGGACTACACGCCTTTGCTGGAATAGCTGTTATTCCGCTGTGGAGAGTGACCATCTCAACGTTCTTATTAAATTTTTATAGTTTTTCAAATTATGTTCAATGTGTTTCTCCACGTTTATTAACAAGTCCGTCCTGTAGGAAACTAAGTACTTTGGTTAAAAGGCCAGGTCTGTCTTTAGACCTTCACAGAAACACCATGGCACAGGGTCCAGGGGTCCCGACGAGGTCTGTGGTCAATACAGAGAAGAGTCATTGAAGAGCACAAGGGACAGGGGAGGTGACTCAGGGATGGAGTGGACGGGGGACCACTGTTGGGGGAAGAAAGACGCCTTCACCTGACAGCATTTCTGGAGAAGGAAAAAGAGGGGAAGAGAGACGTGGGTGGGGAAGGGGGAAGAGGGAAGCCGCCCAAGATACACGATAATGACTTTAAACGTCAAGGACTCCTGCTCACGAACTCCGGTGTCTGTCGCCTCCTTTCCTCCTGCTGATTTGAGACAGAAGTGAACCCAACTGTCCAGGAAGGTTCTCGACCATTGTCTAGACTTCGCCGCACCCCTTCCCACCCTCATGGGCATTCCTGTCCTGACCTCTCCTTCGGCCAGCTCTCTGACTCCACTCTGTCAACCTTTCAATCCAATCCTTCCAGATTAGGGTCAGTTCTGACAGGCCTCTTCCACAGTCAGCAGCCTGCCAGTCTCCTGAGAAAATAATCTTTCAGCGAATTATGAGATAAAATTAAACCTTACCCAATCCGAAACCCAAGAAATATTTCTGAAACTCTAATGCTAAAATACTATTAAAACTGAAGGCACAAAAACAGGGATAGATGCATTCTCCTTCCAGCACAGAAGCTGCCACTTGCAGATTCCTTGGATTTAAAAATCTGGCCTCATTTTTATTTGCCTGATCTTATTCCTTTGAGATAGAGTTGGGGTTTGCAAACACAGGAAAAGTCTAGCGTTTGCTTTGTTTAAAGTTTTAAAGCCCTGTGTGAATACATGTGAACTGCAGCAGCAGACTTCTCGAGTCTGAGTATCATTCTGATACCCAGTCAGGTTGGCTAACAGTATATTTCTGCTAAAAGATTTCCTCTCACAACCAAATACAATCACTGTTTAGTGGAGGACCCCATGAAACTCAGTGCCAAAGAGAATCTTCCAGTAACATGTCCTGCTTCTCTGGGAAACCCGTACCACCCTCCTCTCTACTCCTGCCTCCAAAAGCCCTCCTCAGGACTACTCTGAATGATGTGGCACATCTTCTCTAGAACCACAGGAATGCTGCTTGGTAACTATGATGACAGAAACAAAACTGCTTTTTACTTATAAATGAATGCTTATTTAAAATTATTAACCATTACTTTTCCTTCCTTGAGTTTTAAGTCTATTAAAGGGTTTGATTATAAAAAAGATACTAGTACATAGGCACTAGATGCATTTAAAAATTCTAGTTTAAATGCTGCCAGCCCCTTTCCAAACTCCATCTATCAGTATACCAAAATGCCCTACTCAGATCTCAAATGAAAGGATTTATGATGACTTGAAATATTTGCCTCTCCAACCCACTGTAATATCAGCGCTGCAGAGTGGAGGGTATGTTTCTCAACATTAGCAGCCTTGGCGACAGCAGGCTAGGGGCAAAAGTCCCATTTTCCAGTCCAGGGTGTAGAGGACGTGACTGGCTCTGAGCTCAGAGCAGCACTTTGGACTCACAAGAGAACTGGGGTAAGAAACTATTAAATCTTAAATCTCAGGTATTGTCATCTCAGATCTAGAGTCAACACGGTGTGGGGGACACTAAAGAGTGTGCGGCCCGGTCTCTGACTCTGAGATGATCTCAGCACTCCAAAGCGCTAGATCACTGCCACACGCACAGGCACAGAAACAGGACTGGCCATTATCTAAGAAGGGTCTTCAGCACCTCCCGCGGTGTTCAAGATAGTTAAAGGACAAGCCAGTGGAGAGGGAAAACCATCAGGAAGCTACAGTTTAGCCAAGATACAACCGCAACTGGGATGCAACTGGGAGGTGACAGAGGCAATGATGGGATAAAAGAGCGACTGCAGGGAACACTCAACAAGACTTCAAGAACAACACAGGAAGGATTCAGAGGTCCAGCTGGCGCTGTCTCACAGGCCTGTGTAGACAGGAATGGGAAGGGTCTGGCCAGCTCTCAGGTGGCCGTTCAACTTGATAGAACATGGGGTGAGGAGTCTGGGAGGGTCAGTGTCAGGTGAGATGGCAGTAAGGTGAGCACGCTGGGGGATGCTCGGTTCCTCCAGCCCCCAATGCCTACTGACTCTTCAGGTACCTACACCAAGCAGACGGCTGTCACGGGCCCAGCAGCCACGACCTCCCCAGGGGAGGGTAACAGTCCCAAGTCACTCCTGCCTTGACCTTTGTTTATCTACAAAATGCATAAATATTTATAACTACGTAGATCAAATTTCCTAGAATTGTTTCATTCTGAATAATCCTGCCCCGAGGCCAATTTAAGGACAGAATTCCTGTTGTTAAAGCCTTACAGCTCGAGCACTAACAACATTCCAGGTATTGCAAACCGACGTATTCAACAAAGACTGACACACTGTTAGTACCTGTCTTGCTTTAAAGTTTCCAACTTGTGTTTGTTATCGAAACATTATTAACTTCTGCCGATGGTCCACCCGACCCGTTGTTTCCTGACAGATATTTGAATGGTTTTTCTCTCTCTTTTCCTCCTTGGAATCATAAAAAAAACAAACAGATTTGAAATAGTCACAGGGTTTCCTCTCAGAGCACAAGCATGTAGAGAGTGCTGGGGGAGCGGGGAGCACGGTGAAGAATCAGCCCGGAGCAGCCCGTGTCTGTCACAGAAGGAAATGCGGATGCGTGTAAACCGCGTCTCCTGCAGTGACAACAAGGTGAGTGAGGGGCTCGGAAACAATGTTGGGGACGTGAACACAAGTCTTAGCAAAGTACAAGAAGGACAAGAACTAACACTCACTAGGATCTCCTGCTCTATTGAACCCAGCAGTTCCTGAATGATCACAGGGAGAACACCTTCCTAAACCCCACGAACCAAGACTCTGGTGTTGGTGAAGAGGCAGCACCTGGGGGAAGGGGGGCCCTGCGTCACCGCGCCTGCGCTCTGGCCGCGGTGGGGGCTGTGGCAGGGGCCCTGCGGTGGCGGCACCAAGGTTTCCCCGCAACCAGAGAAACTCCAGAATCAATCAGCGCCTCGGGGATGGTTTCAGTGTGAGCCAACTCACCAGGCACTTGGTAGCTGCTGCTGCTGTAAATACTATTATCATTGTTACTGTTATGAAAAGACAGAGGTGAATATGGATGCAAATACATGAATTCATAATGAGTCAGTCGGCCAAAGAGATGAGACGCTATACTCAACTCGACCAGTCTGTTCCCTTCCTATAAAAACCACCTGAGCGTGCAAGCTCTGTTATG